TCCTCTGTGTTTGTGTCCTTCCCTATTTCTGATAGTCTATGTATTCCCTATGCTAAAGTTCTCAAGTTGGTCCCAATTCCCTCATTGATGGTCCTAATAGTTTGTGGTTTAAATTCAAGGTCTGTGATCCACCTTGAGTTTATTCTTGTGTATGGAGTGAGATAAGGTCTTGCTTCATTTTCCTGCAGGTAAATATCCATTTTTTCCAGCACCACTTGTTGAAGAGGGCATCTCCTTCCCATTGGATATTTTTTGGGCCCATATCAAAGATCAGTTGTCTGTATGCTGATGATTTTATTTTGGGTTTTCAGTTCTTTTCCATTGGTCTGAATATCTGTCATGTGGTTTTGACACCTGTGGCTGTATAATATGTGCTAAAGTTTGGTAAAGCAAGCCCTCCCACTGTGATCATCAAGTCATTGTTGATTTACAGCTAATCTGTAGGGCAGGGTAGAACTGTTCCTGTGAGTCTCCAAACCTGTAAATCTTTGCAGAAGTAGAAAGTCTCATCTTTCCTCTGTGGAGCTGGCTGGTGGTTTCGAACTGACGACCTTGCAGTTAGCAGCCCAGTGCTTAAGCTCTACACAGTGATAGTATCATTAATTTAGCCAGAAGTATACAGTTTAAAACACTGTTGAGAAAAGGAAATTACACAACTGTAGTCCATCTTTAAGCCATAATACATGAGCTGTTGGCTTGTACAGATTGAACTCTTAAGTGACTAGACACTATTTACCCAATGGGTTGGTGATAGGGCAGATAGCAGAGCCATGTCTACTAGATTAATACATGCCATAAAGAAGTAAGGAGGACATTAAAATTCTAAGTTTATGTTAGTCCTGGGACACCATTCATTGGGCACCTTCAAGGCAAGAGATTCAAACCAGTCTATTGTCCACCAGTTCTATGCCTTTGGGTTAGTAGTCAATCTGCTTCTCATACTGGGGAGTTTCAACCTTAAACCAATGGGTACCGCCGAGTTTGAGGGAAATCGCAGTTCACTTAGGGGGTTTCCACATCATGTCCTTCTTTTGTGGCCTATGAAGAGTGTTGTGAGCCTTAAAATAACGGAGTCTAAAGCCCCAGTAATCTATAGCTCACAGTCTGCCTCACGAAGAAGTAAATAGAAACCATGTCAAATGTGTCAAATTAGGAACCTAGTACCAGGTATATTCTCTGGTGGGGACATTTTTTTATTTAAGGCTTAAGGGTTGTCTTAGGTAGTAGTTGCAAGTATCCAACCTTCATGGCTTCAGAAAGGCTAGAGTCCATGTTGATTGGAAATTTTATTCTGCATTATCCTTGTTATTTTGTATTTTTTTAAAATCGGTTACTGGCATGTAATTCATATCATACAATTTAATAGTGCAATCATATTATGAAGTATTTTCCTATAATCACAATCAAATTTTACAGCATTTTCTTCTTTCTTGGGCTCATTGTTATTAGATCCATATTTACCCCCAACCTACCCTGCTATACCTGCAAGGAACCATTAGCCTAGTTACCGTCTCTAGTTTTACCCATCCTGGATTTCATATGCAGAAAAACATACCAAAAAAACCACAGCCCAAGCAAAATACAACCAACAACCATAATAAAGTAAGGCAGAGAAAAATCTCAATAGAAAAGAAAGAAAATATTAAAAGCTAGAACACATTTAAAATGGATCAGAAGGAAGATCAAATAATAAGGTGTTGAGTTTTATCCTAACTGCATCTGTAATAATCTGCAATAAAAAACACTATTATGTTACTTCATAATAACAGTAACAAGGCTGTTCACATCTGTGGCAGTTACTTAAACTGCCAACTTGCGAAGGGGTGGAGTCTAGCTTGTCAATCAGGTTGCAGCTTGATGACCTCATTTGGAGACACAACAGAGATAAAGAGCTCACTGGAGCCCAGACACTCTCTCTGCTTCGTCTTCCTGTTAACAAGCCACATGGAGCTATGCTGAAAGAGCCAGAGACCTGGAACTGGAGGAGCCACATGGAGACCCCTGCCAGTGCTGAGATCCTTCTACCACTACTGGATCCACAATACTTTCCACCTACTGGCCTGTGATCTTCCTGCATTCAGTGTCATTGCATGGCTGTGTGAGTCAAAAGAGAAATTTATGGGCTGGTATCGACATATGGGCCAAGACTGGACTTAAGGACTTGATCTGGACTGGGTTGGAATGTTTTCTTAATGTACAATTGCTCTTTGATATAAAGTTCTCTCTTATACACATATGAGTGTCTCTGGGTTTGTTTCTCTAGTCAACCTAGAGTAACACAACATCTCTGGGGATTCACTGAAGGCTTAGTTGATGTGTGGACCCTGCAAATGGATTTTGGGCTTCCACTGTCCCTCAAAGCCATCTGCAAATAGGGTGTTCACAATTTAAGTTATCTCGAGGTTATAGAACTGTTGATCGTTGGACATTGATTGGGCCCTCTTTCCTTGAGGGTGCCCATCAAGTCGTGTCCCAGTACTAACATATACTTACTGTTTTAATGGACTTCTTGCTTTATTAAGATATGTATTAATCTGGTGGGCATGATGAATAAATGTTATTGAAAAATTTTCCTTATCACCAAGCCCCATTGTTGGTTTAAATAATCCAGTCATTTAATAATTTAATCTGTACAAATCAACAATTTATTTATTGCAGTTTGTGGCCACCCTATATTTGTATAATTTCCTTTTCTCAATAGTGTTTCAAATTCTGTACCATTGGCTAAATTAAGGACAGTATGAATAGAATTACCTTATGCTGTAAGTGGTGTGTGTGTGTGTGTGTGTGATTTAAAATGTTCTATAATATAAAATGGTAATGATATCTCTAAAGTCAACCTGATGCATATATATAAACTATAGATACATGAATGGATTTGGGTCTCTCAATTATAACTCCAATCTAAGAACAATCAGTTCTTATGACATGGCCTTGCTCCATGTTTGCCCTCATGAAGAGATCACTGAAGATACAGGTGCTGTGGCAAAATATAGTGAAGAAACTAGATGATGCCTGCTTATCAGAAAGAATAGCATCTGGGGTCTTAAAGACATTTTCAAACAAGCAGTCATCAAAGTGAGGCATCAACTATATCCACATGGAAGAAACATACCAGCTGTGTGATCCAAGACTTGTAACTAATAAATTTTAAATACAAAGGAGGGAGTGGTATCAGCTTAAATTGTGAATGCCCAGTTATTATATTCCTATCAAATATATGTAGTTTCTGAAACTTTTCTCCCAGTGGGTAGCTTATTTTTCTCTCTGACTTTTTTTGTAAGGTAAGTTTTGATGACCAAAGATTTTACATTTTTATGAGTTTCTTAGGTCCATGAATGTTTTAATAAAAATATGTATAAAAATTGGTTTTGAATTGGACTTCATAAGAAACATGAATAAAAATATCTTTAAATGTCAGCAATTCTAGAGTTCTAGATTGCATTATGTTTAATAGTTAATTTTATTATTTTTCCCCTTTCAGGTGGATGCACGCAGTATTCCAGTATTAGCAAAATGGCAAAATTCCTATAGTATTAAAGTTGTACTTCAAGAGCTAAGACGACTAATGATGTCCAAAGAAAATATGAAACTTCCACAGCCACCAGAAGGACAAACATACAACAATTGATTTTAGTAGATCTCAAACTTGTCTTAAATCAACAACCTTCTATTCATGTTAATGTCTTGATTAAGTATCACAATGCAAAATACCCACACATTAAGTGAAAGAATTCCAGCTGGTAAACATGACCTGGACATTTGCAAAAATAGACCTAATATATGTACACCCATTATGTTTTCAAGCCACAAGAGGAAAAATGCAGCACTTCTACCTTATCAAAGTACTGTCACTTAAGCATAAACCTGGAGTACTGAAAACAATTCAGGTGTACAAGATGAAAGCTTGCTGGAGAAGTGTCAGGTTGCTGTGCAAGGATATACTCATGTTTGTGACAACCAGTCTCCAGGAGGAAACCATCAAGGGCATGCTTTATCCATCTTGCTTAATAAAAGAGCTGCAGTAAAAATTGTGTAAAGTAGTAGATACAATGAATATTGTTGCAAATTGTGTTAAATTTTTAAGCGGTGTGGGTGCTGACTACTATTAGTTTCAAAAATATGTTCAGGATTGTTTTGATACCTGTATTTATAAATTTTAAAAGTGGGGGGCGTTGATGAACTTCTGTTAAGTCGTTTCTGTGTATTACATGTAACACATGGTAAATATTTGTTTACAGTCTTAGTTTAAAACCATGCATTTAAGTTTAAGTGAAACCAACACAAAAAGAAAAAGGTGTATGGATAAGTGGTTTTGAGATGGAAGTCTTAAAAAATGTAAATAAAATGTGGAAAGTGTCTCAGAGATGGTGTCATTTTATTATATATGCATATACTATATAGTACGTTTCAAAGGTAGTAAAATCAAGAATTGTATCACTTTTCATCAATATACATTTTTCTATTTATATTCTTTTAAAAAAAATAATGTATTAGTGGATCATACAACTCTTATCACAATCCATACATACATCAATTGTGTAAAGCACATTTGTACATTCATTGCCCTCATCATTCTCAAAACATTTCCTCTCCTCTTAAGACCCTTGCGTCAGTCAGCTCCTCATTTTCCCCCCTCCCTGCTTGCTCCCCGCTCCCTCATGAACCTTTGACCTTATGAGTTGGAAAATTTCAGAAAATACATAATCTGTTTCTTGGGGAGGGTGGGATACTGGGAGTTATGTTTTGAATTGGACTTCATAAGAAACATGAATAAAAATATCTTTAAATCTCAGCAATTCTAGAATTCTAGATTGCAAATTATCCAGATACTTCATTTTTATAGAATCTTAATTTTTCTGTGATTCTTCAGGTTAATTGGTTGAACTAATATGAGACATCCTCCCTCACTTAAACTTTTTACACTGAGTAGAATTAATTTCATCCATCCTACTCAGCATCTGCTTTAGCAAATATGTAATTCTGAAGTTGAAAGTTCTTTTGCATTCTGTTTTTACCAAAGTAACTTGAGGGTTTATTTACAGAGCTACTCACTGTAAAGGATTGACTAAGTAGATGCCATTAAGCTCCTGCTTTCTTATGGAGCCACTGAAGCAATAGAAAGGCATTCGGTTTAAATCTCCTTGAATTTCTGCAAGCTTAGCCATTTGGGCCATGTTTCATGCTGAAAGGAAGCATGATAGTAACAATGTCAAATAGAGGCTCAAACTTTTTATTTAGTAAATAAAGGGAAGAAAGCCAGCCTTACATGTAAAAATATTTTAGCCACTTTTATTGCACAAGGACATATTTCTCAAACATTTCCTTGACATGTTCTTATCAAACTCATATAATGTTAAAGCTTTGGGCTACATTTCCTGGGTAATTATATATGAAAGCCTGTGACAATTTACCTAAATTTCAGCATTAGTATTTTATGTTATAAAAATATTTTTAAATGGCACATAGAGAACATACATGTACTAATTAGTTCATATATGTTTATTAAATTAATTTGAAATGAACTATTAGCTTGAAAATTTTTAATTGGTTGAAGATGTTACATTTATCTTGACAATATAAAAGTGATAACTGATGGTCAGAATCAGTCAACTAATTTTCTTTTCACTTTAAAATCTGTCATACCCTTTGAATACTGTCAAATTACTTCTCTTGGTAATTGACAATCTGGTTACATAGGTCTCTGTTCTTTTCTGCATAGCCACAATTGTAAAAGTGTTTTCCCCACAAAGCTATATTGTCTCAGTTGGTCCTGTTATATTTATTTCCCCTCTTGTTCAGAGAATTTTGGATTTCTGTAGAAATCTGCATGTTAGATAACCAATTTTCAAAATAGGATCTATTTTGCATGTCACAAATGTTTATGACAATTTTAAGACATACTGGTTGGCTATAGCAACCAATTAATATGGAACCACTCTTATTTATAGTAACATCTAAGAAATTTTGAAGCAAGTTTTCCTTTATTTGCAAAAAGACTAAGTATATGATATTACCTTTTAAATGAATTCTAAGATTGACTTCGATATTTGTTTCCAAGGCTAGCAGATGAGACCCTGAGAATAATCATACATTAAAAAATGACTACAAAAGTATAATTCTTGTCCTATTAGGTCAGTTTTATGTTTTAATGATTGTAATTGCTTAGCATTTCATCTTCAGAATGGAAAAGCATTTTGTGTTTTTTTCCCTGGTATTTTAGAGTAATGACATTTGTTGTTATGAGCTTATTGTGTGTGTGACATTGCATTATTTTGGAACATGAACATCAGAAAGGAGGTCAGTGATATTAAAGCCCTTTGTAAAAATGGAGAAAGTTTATAAAGTAAAATTGCCCTTTAGAAGAAATTTTTGAAACCAAATGAGAGGCTGTTTACAGATTGATTTAGTTTGATTTATGTATGTTTTATTAGGAAAATTAGATTACTTATAAATACTAATACATTTTATTGATGCTTTTTACTACTAGATATTTTTTATAAAAGTAAGCAGTGGAGAACAAAATGCTCATAATCATGAGGTTCACATTGTTTTGAAATTTAAAGCACTCAGTTTGTTATTGATGCTTTTTTCTTTAATAGACTTGGGATGTATCACTGGCGATTCTGGTGGGTACATTATGGAAAGACTTAAAGCAATGGATTGTAGACTTTGGCTCTGTCAAGCCATGTTAAATCTTATAACAAGCACATGGTTGTATTCTGTGTATATTTTAACACTATTAAAGTCTCATGTAATAAGACTATGGAGAATTTTAAAGGATTCAACATCCCCCTTTCCCCAATTTTATTTTGCACTGCTACTTTTCAAGCATTTATATGTACAATTATGATATCATTTGTTGCTGTGAATGTAAAAAGCTTGATAGTACTGACTACTTTTCTGGTAAACATTGATATGTTTTCACAGTGCTACTTTAGCCCTGGTGGCTTAGTGGTTATGTGTTGGGCTGCTAACTACAAGGTCTGCAGTTTGAAACCATCAGCCCTCTGTGGGAGAAAGAGAGGGCTTGCTACTTTGATAAAAAGTTACAGTCTAGGAAACTCAAGGATAGCTCTGCCCTGCCCCACAGTGTTACTATGAATCAGAATGGACTAAATAGCAGTGATAGAGGAGAGAAAGAGAGGTATCTTAATTGGCATTTAGTTATTTTCACACAGTTAATGGTCAGGTTGTGAAAAAGTCTATATATTTGGTATATAAAACCAAAACATCGAAAGGGAATGGATGCAGTGTATTATAGAATTGGTTGGAATATTAGAGATGAATTCCCTACAGAAAAGGGAGGATATTCATGGGGGTAGACTTTTTTATGTTAAAATTAATTATGACTTACAGAAATTGATTAAAAATAAAAGATAAAAATGAAATTAAAAGTAATACTTCCAACTATTTCCTGCAAAGAAATGTAATAGATGGCATTGATGATACGCAAAGTAAATGACAATAAAATGAAAATCATTGTTTATTCCCTTTATAGTATGAGTCCTAACTTTTTAAAAAACTATTACGCATTTGGTGAAGGTTTAGAGTAGCTAATCTGTTACATATTTAGTAATTAGTACACTTTTTGTTCCAACTCATTGATTGTAATCCCCTTTGAAGCCCTCCCTCCTTGTTCCCATTTTCATTCTCCTTCCTACCCCTCTGAGATTTGTTCTTGCATAAATGCTGCTCTTCTGATCCTTAGTGGTTGATTATTCTAACATGGGCGTGAATTCAGTTCAGACCTGAAGGGGTGACCAACGGCCATAGTTTTGGGGACCCCACCAGTTCTTATCTGATCAGTAATCCTAGACTCATGATTTGGGGTCTTGTTCGATGTTTCTCTCCCACTTTACCCAAGATCACCTAACGTGATCCATTTCACAGCAGTGGGGAGGGTTGCAGAGACCAACGTGTGTGTGGTCTATTAGCCTGTTGGACTGCCTTTCACTTTTCATCACTCTTCTTTCCTCCTAATGGGAAGAGTTCAACCTTAGAAGAATGCTCCCAACCTTTTCTTTTAAGACAGCATTTGCTACTCACCAAATTAGGTGAGTAGAACATTGTGAACTATGTTATACCAATTGAACTTGAGAGTAAAGTCGTGAGCCCAGTGACTTATTCCCTCAGTGTTTTGTCTAAGAATTATTGATAACCTGCATCCTGTGTGCTACACCACATTCCTGGATCTATTTGCAGGAGGTAGTTACACATAGACATGTTTTCTGTAAAATCTCTATATATTTGTCGGTATGTTCCCACTCTCCCCTCCACAACTGTCCAGCTTGTATGTCTTTCCAAATGTTTATGTATACATCACTCTTGTTATAAGATTATATGTATATATAACAATAATTGCCTCTGCTGCCTTTAAAACTTGCAAGCCTCCCATTGTCTTCCCCTGTCTCCATCATCTTTCTTTGGTTAAGCTTGCTCTTGCTGTGTATTGTTTTCCCTTCACTCAAATGAATGCTTATGTACCTCCTAGCCTGTGAATTCCCACCCTTCCCTGCCTTCCCACTTCCTGGCAACCATCAGAGAAATAGTTTAGTATGAAAACCTTTTCATGATGTTTCATAATAGTTGCTCTATGCAATATTTGCCCTTTTGTGATTGACTTATTTCACTCAACATAATGTCCTTCCTGGAAAGGTTGGGAATAGAAATACAGAATAGAGCCGAATAATCTGTCTGCTCAGTATATATCCTAGAGAAATAAGAGCCAAGACACAGACAGATGTGTCTTTTGGTTGCCAAAAGCAACCTAAATGCCCATCAGTTGAAGAACGGATAAAATTTGATGCAAACACAATGGAGTGTTATGCAAAATTAAAGAAAAATGATGAACCTACAAACATTTCATAGTGTAGGTGAACCTGACTACTGTTGGTTTTTGTTCAGAGAACTCCCCTTAAGTATTTCTTCTGTTTATTTGGAAATATCCTAATTTCACAGCC